AGCTAGTCGTAACCCGAAAAGTTCGTTAACAGAGGCGTTCGTAACCCGAGGTACCACTGTATGTCCTGCAAATATAACCAACAAGAATTAATGGTAGGATTTAAATCCATGTTTTACCAGATAGTTTGTGTTCAACTATCTGGTGGACATATGAGAAATTGTGCTGAAAAATATCTTTGCCAGTCAGGGGAAAAAAATTACATTATTGAGAAACAGTAGGAGGGGGCAAAATTTGCTAAGTCCTGAATTACTACTTGTCAATTTGACATTTCTCTGAGGATTTCTTACTATAGTATTTGGTAAGTGACAGCATTTAGCCAACCTCAGCTGAACTCAAAAAGCTAAAAAGGTTGATGTTTAGTTGTACTTAGATGGGAGGCAACAAAGAAATACTAGACATAATAGAATTTTTTTAAAACATCCTAGAAGACAATGGCAAACCACCTGCTGCTAAGAAAAGTACTTGAGCATGTCCATGAAGTCATCAGAATTTGGTTTCTACTGGAAGGAGATCTTATCTTTACCTAGCTGAATTTGACCGATCTTGAAAAACTAACTACATAAACATGTCTGTGGAGTCCCCAGGAATCAAATTCAACTGTAAGTTTTTACAATTTAAAATATACCACTGGAAGAAAAGTAACATACAATTTAATAATTTAATTAAATAAATTTAAAACAAGTAGTACAATTTAATAATTGTATCTTTCTAACTCTTGCTGCCCAGAGTCACATTGTTTGAGTTGGGTTGCTTTATAAATCCAGTAAAGTAACAAATAAGTAAATAAATTTAGCAGGACTTATATGAGACTGCTCACAATTTATGCATGTATTTTTCAGATTTTGTAGTAATTACATTGAAGAATGTTCCTTAAGGATTCTAAGATACGATGTCAGCGATCTGTACTAGAAATGTAATATGTAAATAATCACTGATATTTATATTTAGCAAGTATTTTGAGTATTTTCCTCACTTAAAGTGCTTTTCAAAGCAGAATGCATTCTAATAATTAAAATTCTGCTACAAGGAATGCTCTATAAATTCTTTGTGATCTTTTCTTGACCCAGTCTTCAGTCTGTCTTCTTTTCTGTGTTTCTTTGGTGAGTGACTACTATTTTGCCAGATTCATTTCTGGTGTTTTACTATCTTCAGAGAGGCTTTAGAATCAGCCACAGGGGAATCTGTGCCTAAAGAGAAATACAGCATAGACTGGAGGATGAGATGGGCAACTTCAGCTCAGTTGTTAAGGCAAGGGTGGATTCATCTGCTTCTGTTTTGTGGCCTGGGATTGCATTTGGCAAAGAGGGTGTGGCTCGAAAAGAACATTCAGCTCTTTTTTTCAGCTTTTGGATTTCTGGATTAAAAACAAAACAGATGCATGAAACCAACCTGTTTGTTTGTTTGTTTGTTTGTAATGAGAAACCGCACTGTCATCAAGCTGACCTTGGGAGGATGTGAGAACTACAAAGGGGGTGGAGATTGTCCAGGGTCAAGAGGTTATGCTTTTGCCCCTCCCACTTTCCTTTTTC